AGCACGGAATAGAAGTAACGAAAATAAGTAGTGTCTTGAAATTTGACAAAAAGGTTTAAAAATCGAACGTAGGAGATTTATACCAAAATCATTGCATTCCACTTGTCAGAATCCGAAATATAACGGGATAACAAGTAATTTATTCCAAACTAATTTTGAGTCGCTAATTCCGAATATACCCTTTGTTTTTTTATTGGACTATAGTTTGCAAAATTTCCATAATTTTTAGCATATAAATTTTGGACTGTCCTATTTGCTGTAATAATTGGTAGACATGGATTATCCAAATGGCATTGGATGCTTTAGAAGGTCACATGATGTAGAACGCGTATCTAAGTACTTTAGTAGATTTTCTGAAAACTTACAAATTAGGGTGACACCAAAGGCTTAAACAAAATAAAAATTAAAAAAAAGCAAACCCTAATATGAGGCCGTGAGAGCAGAAGTGGCCTATTCAAAGTATTTCCCAATGTAATATATTAAAAAAGTCACTTATTCGTTTCAAAAGTCGATTATTCATAAATTTTAAGGTACAAAGCATCGTAGACTACCTTAAAATTAAGTAATAAGCAACTTTTTATTTGCCATTTGTGCCTATTTTATGTAGTTAAGTATAAAAAAGAATGTTGGGTAAAACCACCTCTGCTCTCACGGCCTCATATAAACAAACCTAGGTACAGAAACACATGCAAGTATTTTACTACTAATTTATTTAGCTATTTACTTGATTGTCCTAATTAATTCGGCGCAATTTTAACGGACAGCGCTCAAACGTTAACCTATTTACCCACTACATTTTGTTCATTTATCCTGCAAGTCAATCAGGCCAAAGTGTATCTTTGCTTGCCACAAAACTCGCGAGCCACTCAACATCTCTGTGACGTTTATCGAATGAAATGAAAATGCCTGTTTTAATGCCTTATGCTTATTCGCAATGCGTTAACTCTATCATGGCCTGCATAAATAAATTTCGCACTTCTTTCATACACATCTCACCCCGTCTTTCGCCGTTTTCTACATGAATGTTATGTAGTCAATAATTTTTTTCTCTACGATTCACCTAGGTGCTATTTACTGATTATTCGTTGCTGATTTTATTATTCGGCTAATATCTCAAGCCAACGTACCGGTCAACTTACATAAGTGGCTTCCATTGTACTGTCAATTGTGTTGTCTGTACTCGTGTGTGTGTGTCTATCAGTAGTCGCACGCCTTTGTTTACTTCCTTTTCCGCCGTTTTTCTTTTAGCCATGCATCCATGTTTAGCGCCATTTTTAACACCTGTCAGCATCGGTAAACATCAGTCGTTGTTGATTTTATTTATTGTTGCCTTTATACAGGCAACCACTTGTCTAAGCAGTCTTTCTATTATTTTCCGATAATAAATGATTCCCCCTTTTACGCTGTGGCTGTGCCGGCCTAAAGCTTAGACGGGTTGCAGAGAAGGGATAATAGACATTATCACTCTCTTTGATTACATTAGAAATTATAATTTCATGCATTTAGTAGCGTTTCAATCGATGTGAGCATAATAAGTGGCTGCTCTCCCTTTTGCTATACCATACATATTTTCACAATTTTAGTGCTTAGGAGAGTAGCCAAAGAAATTTTGCAGACATGTTAGAATGAGCCAAATTGGATCACATATGTATTCACAGAAGGCATAACTACAAGTCTGTATGAGGTTTTGGATCAAAAATGTTGCGAATAACAATTTCCTTATATTTATTCTTACCTCACATTTCTAGAGGGAGTTCGTAAAAAATAAAACCTACATATATATGAGCCCCCTATTTTGAAAGTACCATAAGTCTCTTCGTACCTCTTGTGCTTAAATTACTGTCTACTTGTAACCGAATGCATTTGTAAATCGCTCTATCGTCAAAAACGAACGACAAAACCTTCTTCCTTTGGTTGATGAAAGGAATAACCGACGCGTTCAGATAAAAGTAACCTGTCGTTTAAGCACGAAAGGTGTAAAGTGACTTATGCTACTTNGACTGTCTACTTGTAACCGAATGCATTTGTAAATCGTCAAAAACGAACGACAAAACCTTCTTCCTTTGGTTGATGAAGCGAATAACCGACGCGCTCAGATACAAGTAACCTGTCGTTTAAGCACGAAAGGTGTAAAGTGACTTATGCTACTTTCAAAATAAACGGCTCGTACATATATATTTACATACAAATATAAATTTCCTGCCAGCCATTCCATCGTGGAAAATTTCGAAACAACATTTTTGTAATATTCTTCGCCGATGAGATCGAGTTTTTTCGAAGTCTATCCGCTGTTGAGATAAAATTTTCCATCAAAACGCCAGATACTGCAAAATAAAAATTTTAATTTTCTAGATTTGCTCTATTAATTTTAAACTTTTGTGATGCAAAAGTGTTCTTAAGTGTTCTACGAGCCCTTATCTTTGTATTCGGATACGTGTTAGCATTTGTCTACGGGTTCATATTCCTCATGGTATCCGCATTCGTCTTGTGATTCGTTTTCATATTCGTATAGGTATTCATCCTTGGGTTCCATAACCATAACCATAACCGTCATTTGTTCTGATCAAACGAATAGGCAGCTCTGTAAATTATTATACTCACGGACGTAAAATCGGAGAACGTTGACAGCTGGCACCGCCTACCTTATGAGAGGGCTATGTAAATGAAAACTCAACAACGTGGAATTTTTCGGTGGACGGAGGCACAGTCGTAGAAATCCGCGCGAAGTTGATTTTTTCCGTAGAAAGGTATCAGCTGTTGGTTCTCTCTCACATACTCCTCTGGCAAGACTGCTATCCAACAATTTTTGATATTATTACAAAATACATGTCGAAGTTCATCACGTTAACGAATTGGTTTGATCCCGAGTAAGCGTCGCAACATCACAGGGGAGCAAAGATTGCATATGGTACCACAATGGGCCTTTCTTGGCGTAAGTGTAAGGGGAGTCACTCTCTCTAGCCATTTCAACCCAACCTAACCTACAAAATAAATTTTAAAAAAGACGTAAAATATTCTTTAAAAAGTAAAAACTCCAACCAGAACAANAAATGGGCCTTTCTTGGCGTAAGTGTAAGGGGAGTCACTCTCTCTAGCCATTTCAACCCAACCTAACCTACAAAATAAATTTAAAAAAAGACGTAAAATATTCTTTAAAAAGTAAAAACTCCAACCAGAACAAATTAAATTGAGGAATGAGATATTATTTACATGCGATATATTCAGAATAATACCTAAGTGAAATGGTAAATTATTGTAGAAGTACGCATGCATTCTGCTCAATGGTAATAAAAACACACCATTTCGAACAATTGCTACTTTGGACTGCAGAGGCAATTGAGAAGTAAAGTACTCTCTCGTCATACAAAAATCAGACTCTACTAAAAATCACTCATTAGCACAGAAGCATGGACTGCTCTTGGAGTGTTCGATATAGCCATAGCCATGNCCTCTCTCGTCATACAAAAATCAGACTCTACTAAAAATCACTCATTAGCACGGGCATGATGTGCTGGTGTATGGCACAGAAGCATGGACTGCTCTTGGAGTGTTCGATATAGCCATAGCCATGATTAAAATACAGCGGCTCCGCTTGCTCGGCCGTACTGTACGAATGGACAGAGATAACACAATGCTAGTAACAGAAGAAGAAAGAGACCTTATTTGCGAAGGAAGGACCGGGTGGAGAAGGATTTGGCATTTCCAATTAGCGTCAATTGGCACAGGAGAGAAATAGCTGGCGTGCTTTATTAGGCTCGGCCAGAATCACTTACGAGGTTACAACGCCAATCAAGAAGAAGAAGATATATTTTTGAGGTTGCTGATTACGATTCTGTATGCAACTTTAAAATTGCAAATGGCAGATCCAATATGAAGGAAAATTTGTTGGACAAGTCGTTGAACCTCCATTATGTTCCATATGACTGAATTTCTGAAGTCACCGAATATAAGACTAAGCATGCTCTGATACTCTGTAGCGTACGCCAATGAGAGTAACACCCTTATTCTAGAACCCGAATTTTGTAATTCGTAGCTTCGTTACGAAAAACGAAAAATCGGTATGCTGCAACCCTAGTGGAAATCAGTTGTTTTTCGAAGGCAGCTGTATGAAGGAAAACAAACTGGAACGGAATTAGAAAAACACTCTTCAAGTGCTTATTTATAGTAAAATTGTTTGATTTTACATATTTTGAAGGAAACGATGGATTCTATTGCATTTGCAATTATAGCAGCAATGATAAAAAAAATTCTTTGCTTACTTCGATTCTCCACAGAAAAGGTCCATATACCAAATTAGGACTAATACTTTCGAAGATACTTGCAATTTTAATGAGAAAAATGCATTAAGTAATGTATTTACTAAATTTTATTTTTTTAACACATTGAACTTTGATGGACTTGGGCGAGCCTAAGATATTGACCAAAANAAATTTTATTTTTTTAACACATTGAACTTTGATGGACTTGGGCGAGCATAAGATATTGACCAAAAATAGTCATATTTCACACAGATTGTTTTTAGAGCATAATGAACCATATGTTTGCTATTGCCAATCAAAATTCTAAAAAAGCGGATTTTCGGCCCACGCTAATGTACAAGGTCAGCACTAACATTGTCGATGACGGTTCAGAGGTGGATTTTTATGTTTAATTTTTCTGAAAATTGGAGATAGGTTGTATTTAAATATAAGCCCTGGATATGTAATTAAATTTCATTATCCAGTACAATATATGTATTACATACACATCTTATTAAATTCNTAATGTACAAGGTCAGCACTAACATTGTCGATGACGGTTCAGAGGTGGATTTTTATATTTAATTTTTCTGAAAATTGGAGATAGGTTGTATTTAAATATAAGCCCTGGATATGTAATTAAATTTCATTATCCAGTACAATATATGTATTACATACACATCTTATTAAATTCATCCATTTTTAGCAAAATATTTAACATTTTTATTTGCCATTTAAAAATGCCATAATATTTTTCCAGGGCGGCGTTTTCTTGGTTAACTTTTTGAACGTTTATGGACCTGGTCTTGCCATATTGTTTGTCGTATTCGTGGAAGCAGCTGGCGTTTTTTGGTTCTATGGCGTCGACCGTTTTTCAGAGGACGTGGAACAGATGTTGGGCATTAAACCAGGCATTTTCTGGCGCATCTGTTGGACTTACATAAGTCCGGTATTTTTATTGGTTGGTATTGTGCCACTTGAGCTCCAGCAAAATCTATCACACGCTTAAAACTAAATTTTCCCATTTTTTCCAGGGCATTTTTATATTCTCCATACTCGGCTATGAAGATATGTTGGGCGAGGAATATCAATATCCCGAATGGAGCATCAAAGTCGGCTGGGCCGTCACTTGTTCCTCGGTGCTCTGTATACCCATNGGCGACTTGAGCTCCAGCAAAATCTATCACACGCTTAAAACTAAATTTTCCCATTATTTCCAGGGCATTTTTATATTCTCCATACTCGGCTATGAAGATATGTTGGGCGAGGAATATCAATATCCCGAATGGAGCATCAAAGTCGGCTGGGCCGTCACTTGTTCCTCGGTGCTCTGTATACCCATGTACATCATCTACAAATTCGTATTTGCGTCCAAGGGTGACTGTAGAACGCGTTATCGCAACAACTTCAAAGTACCACCACGGTGCGGGTCAGTGTTGCCGGGACAGCAGGGCACCACGGTGTGACATGATTCAGCAGAAGCAAAGCAATCAACGCCACCGACACTTGGTGTGGCGTGGATGAAGCGGATGGATGGAGGTGCGGATGCGGCAGCGGAGAGCAAACTTAATAAAACTTTTATAGAAGCAACTAAATCCAGTAGTAATTGTAGCTTGGAACGTTTAGCGTCTGTGGGATGGAGTTATTCGCCAACAACAACCAAAACAACAACAAAACTAGCAAAACCAACAAAAAACACAACCTATGAAACAACAAATAACATAATTGATTTAAACAGTTACTATGCATATTACACAAATAATCTTAATTATGGTTACATATATGAAGTTTCGCCGAAAAATAGCGATGAAAGAAATAGTGTTAACGCATTCGATGATGAAAATATACAACGCAATGTGCCTCACTTGGAATGGACGTTTCGACCGAAACGCTTGGAATGTGTTGACTCCAACGAACCAACGAGTGAGGATAGTCACAGCGGCATCTATGAGGAAGTGTTGAATTCGGAGTGCACTGAACACAAAAACCCCAATGCAAGCCTAAAACAAAACCAAAACACTGATATTAATAGATTAAGTTATAAATATGCCAGCAATGTTGCGGATGAAAGTAGCGGTAGTAGTTATAGTGTTAATGTGAATGGTAGTGCTAATGTTAACATGAATGCTAATGATAATGTTAAATGTAATTATGTTAGTGGTTCACAGAGAGCAGCAAACATTTGTAAATTAAATACGACTCACGAAATTGCTGAGGACAATAATTATGCAATGATACTCAGCAGTTGCAAACCGCTTAAGTTCTCATTTGCCAGCGAATGGTTGGTTTAAATAAAAAAAACATATGTATGTATATGTCAATGTATAATAAAATTAATTGCGCAAAGAGAATAACAACAATAAAATGCAAGCGGTGTAAAATTAAGTATGGTGCAATTGATTGATGGTAAGATAAGAAGCGAGCTTACAACAATTTAGGGTATTCGAAAGTTGTGTATAGGGAAAACTTAGCAAAACAGCCATTTGCTGAGTTTTCCATTATGAAATTTGTTGGAATTGTATGTATGTAAGTAGTATATGCTTGACTATACATATGTATGTGTGTTTGTAAATATTCATGTATCGATGCACTTTTTCTACAAAAAATTATACGTAATTTTGTATGAATACGATAGGCCTAAGAATATGTTTTGTATGCAAATGTTTTTTTTTTCTAAAATTTTGCAAATTGTTGTACTGCAGCATTTATAAATGCCTATTTGAGTGCTATTGTCAAATACCTACTTATATATGTACATATTGGTACAATATAAAAAATACCGTTACATTGCAAGTGTTTGTTATCCAATGAAATGCAATGCATTTTTATAATTGTATGATTAAAATTGAGTGTGCAATAATAATTAATTTAATACTAAAAATTAAAATCAAATATTATAAATGCATATAGTTATAAACAAGTTTTTTCAGCAATGGTAACAAATGCTTTTAAAAAAACAATATGCGTAATTTGCATAAAATGATAAATATGGGAACAAATAAACTGCAAGCCACACCCATACTTAACAATTAAATACACACTAGTTACATGTTTTATAATTTTTTAAGTAAATTTTATTTTGTATAGTTTTTNGTTATAAACAAGTTTTTTCAGCAATGGTAACAAATGCTTTTAAAAAAACAATATGCGTAATTTGCATAAAATGATAAATATGGGAACAAATAAACTGCAAGCCACACCCATACTTAACAATTAAATACACACTAGTTACATGTTTTATAATTTTTTAAGTAAATTTTATTTTGTATAGTTTTTGGTACACATAAATTACATTAATCGGTCCTATATTTATTAAATTTGTCCCTTTTCACATACATACATATGTTAATGCCTTAGTTTTAGTAAGTAAGTAATTCTAATTTTAAAATCTAAAAAAAATGTTCAACCAATTTTTTTTTGTACAAACTGAAAGCTAGGAAAATAATTGCAAATCAGCCATTTTGCAGCTATTTTCTGTATACTAAAAAAATGCCATTTTTATATTTCTTAATAAATATAATTTTTTTTACAAGTTTAAAATCGAGTTTTCATAACTAATATTATAAATGTGAAAGTTTGTGAAGAAGTAGTCGGATTTCTGCGAGCCCGAAAGAACAACTGATGAGGATTGTCAAGAAGCTGCATAGAACAAAGATGCCGCGTGCAGGGGCGCGCTACGATCGGAAGCAACGCGAACCATGTGGGACCGTATTTGCCGCAATAAGAAGAGAGAGGCCGAAATACGTAAGTGCGAAGCGCTTGATATACTGGTGGACAGACTGGAAAAACGCACGAAAATTGTATCGGAGAGTTAGGCGACTTGCGTAAGATTTCAATAACAGGGCGAACTCCTGTAAGAACAACCATGGGGACCTAGGGACCGATGACGTGGTACGAATAGCGATTATGCGGCTGAAAACCAACAAAGCTGATGGAGCTGCCGGCCTGCCAGCCGAGCTATGCATCAACTCTTATGCAGAATATGGTCAGATGAACTCATGCCCAATGACTGGAATTTAAGTTTTCTCTGCTCAATCTACAAGAATGGCGATCCCGCCATACGCTCCAACTACCGTGGATTGGACCTTATTAGTCTGGATTTCCTGGCAAATCCACCATAGACCAGATATTCACAATACGTTAAATCTTGGAAAAGACCCGCGAGAATAGGATCAAGACACACCATATATTTGTCGATTTCTTGTTGTCTTTATGCCACGCTGTCTGAATTTGGTATCCCTGCGAAACTAATACGGCTGTGTAAAATTATGTTGAGCACCAGCTTCATCAGAGTTCGTAAGGACCCCTCCGAACCGTTTGATACTAAACGAGGTTTCAGACAAGGTGTCTCCCTTTCATGTTATTTTTTTAATCTGATGTTCTCCTTCTTCTTATTTGGCACTACAACCGTTTGTCGGTTTGGTTCGAGAACAAAAAACTTCGCCAGTGGCTTCTCTCCTTCGCAGATTAGCACCAGATGTTCACCCCAATCGTTGTATTTTTATGCGCCTCACTATGCAATTGCTGGCGTATGCGGACGACGTCGATATTATTGGTAAAAAAAGGGTTACATCTGTTCTGCCTTCTCGGGATTAGATAGAGAAGCAAAACGAATGGGTCTGGTGGTGAACAAGGCCAAAAGAAAATATCTACTGTCATTACACAAACACTCTTGGCATCCACGTCACTGTTGACAGTTACAAGTTTGAAAAAGTAGACGACTAGAGTCCGACCGATGCCGAGGCTAGTATCGACCAAAAGAATCGAAGTCGGCCGTTATTGGTCGATTCTTGAATGACGTATTGCTATTTAGTTATTTGATTATGTGTTTCTTTTGTTATTACTTATAAACATTTATAAAAGCTTTTGTTCTTGAAATGAAATTATATTCAGAATTTAATCGGCAAAAAATCGGTCGATGTTTCGGCCGATTAAATCCTGTATTAAATTCATTTCAAGAACAAATGCTTTTATAAACTTTTATAATAACAAAAGAAAAACATAATCAAATAACTAAATAACGTAACTTGATTCAACAATCGGTCAAAAAAAGTATAGGTAAAAAGAATCGGCATCGGCAGTTTTTGACCGGTCGGACTCTAAAGACCACTTTGTTTATTTGGGAACCAGCATTAACATCAATAATAATGTCGGCCTTGAAATCCAACCGAAAATGACTCTTGCCAACAAGTGCTACTTCGAACTCAGTAGGCAATTGAGAAGTAAGATCCCCTCTCGTCGTACAAAACCCACTCTCTATAAATCACTCATCATGCCCGTGCTGGCATATGGCGCAGAAGCATGAACAATGACAACATCGGATGAGGCGAGAGTGCGGAATGCTGAGCTGTATGAACTATACAACGATATGGACATAGTGCAGCGAATTAAAATACAGCGGATCCGCAGGATAGGTCATGTCGTTCGATTGAACAGAAACGCTCAAGCACTGAAATATTTAACGCGGGTCGCGATGCCGGTGACAGACGAATAGGATGCCCTAATGTGCTTTCGAAAGGGAGGTAGAGAAGAACTTGGCTTCACTTAGCATTTCCAGGTAGCCTCAGTTCACACAGAAGAGAAACGGATGGTGTGCTTTGTTGCACTCGGTCAAAATCGCTTACGCGGTTACAGCGACAATCGAGAAGAAAAGATATTCGCAGTTAAGTTTGGGTCTTCAAGAAATCTCCTGCTAGAAATCTGAGCTTATGTACTAGCCGGTTCGGGGCTTCGCCACGAGCTGAATGTGTAGATATTCAGCCCTATTCTGCATTTCGATTACTTTCCCGCATTCCGCTCCGCTACAATCGTAATTTGGTATTCTGCGTTACGTTCGAATCGAACGAAGAAGAGGAAGAGCAAAAATATCTTCGAAATCAGCTGGTTGCCTAGGAATGTGTGAAATCGAAACGTAACAAAAGAAATAATTGCACCAAAATATAGCAGCTTATGAAGTTAAGATTTGTAAATATTTCAAATAACTAAATATATCTTACTCATTTTAATTTCATAATAAAATTTCATTTGTTCTTAATTAAAGTGGAAACATAATTCTATTGCTTGAAGAGCAGAACGAGTCCCAGATTTCTGATGCGATGTTGAATGGCGGAGATTTAGAGACATGTTTGATCCTTTTCAGATGAGTGAAGAATTATAAGAAATTCATCTTAAACTGCATTCTCACCGCTCAAAGCCAGTGAAATTATAAACGTTGTTTGAGCACTCCACAACATTTGCATTTAGTACAGTAGTATGTTATATAAAAATTATTGTAATTAATTTTATTGTAGTATGTTATATTAAAAGAATAAATTGTATTCAGTGCATTTCACAGTCTTATTTATAGATAATGAAAACAAAAACGCCTGGACTTCCTCTTTGAAAACCCTGCGCAATATAAGGGATAATGGGAAGGGCCATTATTTGAGCCAATTTTTCCTATTGCCCGTATTGCTGCTCGCGAAAACACAGAAATCGAGAAAATTCATTTATGATGACTTTTACAATCATGCACAATATATTTCACTTAATTTTTTTATAAAATTTTAATATTTAAACCCACGAAAATAACAATCGAAACGTTCTCCGTCAACACATTGGCAACTTAGAAAAACGTAACTACGATCGAAATGTAGAATAGGTACAATCGTAAATTTCGAAGATTGATCGAAACGAAACGGAACGCAGAATACCAAAGTTGCCAAACGGAGAAAATTTCGATTCGAGTAGAAATGCAAAATAGGGCTGATTAAATAAGATGCGATTGACAACTAAACAGGTTGCAAGCCTGCTAAAAAAAATAATGTAGAATTGCGCATCCGGAGGCCAAGCCCTTTCATTTAACACCCCATTTATTGTAATCTAGCGAACAGCCCACATTTTTTAATTTTTTGCACAGGTTGCAGCCCTCTTCGAAAAATAAAATCTTACTGCAAAACAGAAGGTCAAGCCTTTTCCTTTGACACCTTTTTTTTTAAATTGAAAGAACTGTACAAATCTAATGTCATAAAAAATGCCTTCGCGTGTTATACATACATAATTTTTAAATAGGTGGCAACCCCACTCAAACAAAACATAAAAGCTTATTGCACATGCAGAGACCATATCCTTTCACTTGGTACCACAGTTTTTGGTCCAACAAACGGTGAAGATCTTATAATTTTTAAAAAGTGGCAACCCTACTCAAAAAGTAATACATTATTGAACATCTAAAAGCCGAGCCCTTTTATTTAACACCTCATTTCTTGTAATCCAACAAATAGTGCGGATCTAATAATTTTTTAGACAGGTG